CCATGTGTGCCCTCCATTCATTGTGTGCCCTCATTCATTCGCGTACCACAGGCGATCTTACAGCGACCCGAAAAGAGAGACGCGACGCTTTATTATTAATAGCGCGTGGAAGGGACGCGGAACACGCGAACAAAACTACCGGTTGTGGGGTAGAGACTTTCCTCTGTCTGCCTCTCGTGGGGTTGCGCGGGGAGCACGGGGAATCTTGATCCATTTCAATTTCGCGCACGCTGCGATGTCAGGGTTCATCTCCAGCAGATTAATTTCATGCCTTGATACGTTTCGAATCAACCGAGAGGCTTCGTTTTTTGTTCATCCCCTTTTCTCTCTCTCTCTCTCTCTCTCTCTCTCTCTCTCTCTCTCTCTCTCTCTCTCTCTCTCTCTCTCTCTCTCTCTCTCTCTCTCTCTCTCTCTCTATCTTTCTCTCTCTTTCTCTAGATAACGTATCGAAAGGTTTTCATCCCCCCAAAAATATAATAGAAACGTCATGCATGAAATACAAGTATGTTTAATTGAATCCTTAATGTAGTATAATCCTATGCGAGCCAAAAAGGTCTTATTAAGAGACAATTCTAGAAGACACATAATCTTTTTTTATTAAAAAAAATAATCATTATTTATAAATTATTACAAATAACAATTTATAAATAAATAAATATTAATAATAAATAAAATCTATATAATTTTATATATATAAATAAATATTAAGGATTTGGTAAAAATTCCTTTTTTAGCTCTCTTTACCAAATAAACGACAACAAATTGCATCGCATTAATCCTTTGTTGCGCCAGATATATTTATTCGTTAGTTGATCCGATCGAATCGAGCGAGTTATTCGCCGGCCGGATCTTATCTCATCGCCCGACTGCGAGATAAACTCGATTATGTACAATACCTTCCACGACACATAGGAAAACCGTACGTTTCCGTCATTGTCACATCACATTGCGCGATTCGTTCGGCGATCATCTTTTATCGCGTTTATCATCTATTCGGGGCATCGTTCAGGTGGCAATGAAAAGGCACCTCATCAGGCGTTCTCTGTGACATAGTGACACAATATCGCGTCAAAGCGACCGACAAGAAAATGCATTAACGTCCCAGTTGGAAAGTCGAAACATAATAAGGAGACGTTGTTTTACATAATA